TTTTGAAGCTGAAGCTAGAACTCTCAAACTTGCCGATTACTTTTTAAATCACACTGTCAGGGAAATAGGGACATGAAAAGATTTTCAGAGTCAAGCGATTCCCAATGACAACAGCATCTCTTTGGCTACAGCAATATGTGTTCAGCAGTGACACGGTTAACGTCAGTTCTGCAATGAAGCACATGATGCCCCTGGTGTCCACAGGGAATGGAACTGCAGCACTGGTCCATGTGCTGTAAAACTGGTCTTCACTGGAGACTGCCTGTCACTGGAGTCCTGAGCCAGAGCAGGGATGTTCTGTGTTCTTGTCTTACTGTGGGTGAGTCAATAATCATATGTGGCTTATAAAAGAAAGTAGTCAGCATTTTTCCTAGTGATCACTTAAGAACAGTGCTAAAATATCTGAGTTACGACCATGAAAAAAAGCAGTGTTTGTCACAAATCTATTCGCTCAACACATCTATGTGTTTAAAATTAAAAACTTTTACATTAAAGATTTAGAGAGAGAAAAGTGACTCTATCTCCAGGTACCACCAGTGAGCTGACAGATGACTTTTCTGAAGAATGCTGCAAAAGTGCTGTCATAAAATAAATCTAGATGGCATAAAATAAATCTACTTACACACGTAAGTAGGGGCCAAACTAGTAACTCACTAGCAAATTCCTCTTGTCTAACGTGTATTCTCCTGAATTTTAGGAGGACTGATTCCATGTCCCTCACGAGAGAACAGTGGGAAAGTGTAAGGAACAGAGTGACATGGGAGCTGCTGAATTGAGACAGTGCAGCTTCTTTTTCTTAAAAATGGAAAGTGAAAGAAAGATTATCTGAGTCATAGACTATAGGTGATCAAGATTAACTGCAACTCTTTGTAAATCTTTGAATAATCATCTGTCTGAACGTTTCTTACATTTTTCATGGTAAGTACAAGGGGGAAACTTAAAGGATAAATATCAGCATTAGTATTCACTTCCTAAAAACTTCATAAAATGCTAAGAATTCTTTTTACCAATTTATTTTATCAATAATTATATGTATGTCAATTATATGATATAATAATTATTGTAATTAAACAATTTCTTTTAGATGTAGGAAAACAAATTTGCATGGAATCATATGTGTAAATATGTACATAATGTGAGAGGAAACTCCTTTGTGAACATGAAATTCATATTCTCATTATTCTCCACTTACTGTCTCGGAAAATATTAGCTCTTATTTTTGCTGTGGTGAATTCAGTTGTGGTTGATAAGAAAATGAACTTTAGAAGATTCAGCGTGGCTTCCTCCTTCTCTGCTTTATGACGGTACAGACCTACTGTCTGTGAGCTTGCAAAATCTATGAGCTTGCAAAAGCAGTGGTTCCCCAAAACAGGAACCCCACGGAGTTTTCTTAATACTTTGGAGAAATAACTAGCTTAAGTCTAAGTTTTCTCCAATCACTGTTTTCTTATCCTGTTTCTGGGCTGAAGACCTAACTAGATGTCCTGCATTTTGAAATAAGTTTTTCTATTTCTTTTCATTACATCCCTTTAGTGAACTCATATACTTAAAACAATGGTAATAAACAGCAACCCCCCACATACATACTCATGCAAGCATCTGAAATAAACTGATACAGAAGTAAAAGACTCCACATGTACAGGAGTAGCTCATTCCCTTTTATTCAAGGATCCGTCTTCGATGGCTAAGTGAAGTAAACTCAGGAATCTGACTCAGTTTACTCTATGGGCATTTGGCTTAACGTTCATCATAGACATGTAGTGAATCAAGGGAACTTTAAGTTTATTAATGACAGATGTCTGAGTTTCTTTGTTAAGAAAACAGTTCAGGGTGACTGCAACATGAAGAATTCAGGGAGGGAGAGCATTCCTGTCCTTCACTCAAAAGCCAGTTTCTCTCAGGCAGTGTTCTCAGATATTTCTTTGTCTTATTTCATAATGGCAAGAAATTCATAAAGCTTTTTGAAGAAGGGGTCTAACAACTTGATCCACTTGCAACAGGAAAGTTTAGCAGCCATTTAGGTTACCTCATTAACAATTCGATACTTTCACAAAAGTCATCAGAAAACCATAGTAAGCTTATCTATCACTACGTTTTATTACCTATGAGGTGTAATGCTACAATAAAATCTTTTAGAAAATCTCAGTCAAAGACTCTGTTTGTGTCTGAGCATGTTTGCTGCAATCACGCCAGTGATTTGTATTGAGTCGGCCTTCCTCTCAGCTGATAACCTGAACATTTTCCAAATGTTCTTGTTTCCACAGGACTTCAATTATATTGCAGGAAACTGTTTGCAGAGCAAAATTACACTTAATGATGCATAGCATGGCTATCAGACTTTGGTGTGCATTAAACTGTCCTTGAGGGATTGTTGAAGTACTAAACACTAGGCTTCCACTCAAGAAATCCTATTTTATTAGGGGTTGAAAGTAATCTAATGAATTTTCTTTGGTGGAAGTTCCCATGCTCAGTTGTGTGACTAGTCCAGGGTCCAAGTATTTACAGACAATATTTAGTACTGTAGGGTGTTGACCTCTACTTTGTCAGGTGAGGCACAGTTCTTAAATGAGTGTATTGATTCTGATGCCAGTGTTTTCTTAACCGAAGCATCCCTTTCCCAGAGAATTATTCCCTAACTTTCAATCTAATGTAATGTTCACTGCTCTTTCCAAACTGCTTTATTTTCTTCACATATGTCAAATAATATAGCCTGTTTTTTTTTTTCTTAGTAGAATCTTTAAATTATGCATCTAAAACAGTTAACAGAACAAGTTCCTTATTGAACAAAATTGTAAGTATCTAAATTGGAGGTGGCAAGTTAGATGTAAACAGGAAACTCAAAAGGGGTTACAAGATTACTTTGAAATTTAAGTACATTTTGTTGATATCTAGAGACTGTCCACTAGCAGATCATGTTTGTTTTCAGTTGCGAGTCTCATTAGCCAGAAGGCAAAGATGAAATTAGCAAGCATTGCTCTCACTCCTGAGGCTTCTGTGTTCAATTCAAGTGATGAAACTATAGACTTAAATTCCAACATATAAAGTTTCTTAGTATGGAAAGATTGATCTTTCAGCATCTTAAAATGTTTTAAAATGATTCTTATTAAAAAGTCTTGATAAAGCATTTCAAATGCAGTAAAAATGTAATCAGATGCACATACCATTTTCTGAAGATTAAAAACACATAATTTATTATAAGAACTTACTTTCAAAGGGGGATGAACACCAAATTATGTATCCTAATGCAAACTGGAGGAAATAGCTAAAAAAAATCTACTTTGTTTAAGAACATTGAGTTAAGAAGCATAAACAAAAAAAAAATAACCACAAAAGTCCTCCACCAAATTCTGAATATATGAAAAAGTAAGATATCTCAAATTTAAATTGTTATGTTGGTTGTTGTTCAATCATACTTGCATTTTCAAACAAAAGTCCAAAAATCTCTAGTTTTTGTTTATGGTGAGGAGAAAAAGGGGAAAGATTCCAACTGACTTATCTTTTAATGTATTCTCAAAATATAGCAAAACAGTGTATTAAATTCAGTTGAGACAATACAAGTAAAACTGTGACTGAAGTTCAAAACAAAAAATGCATAGAAATCAAGGGCTCTATACTCAGATGAGACTTAGTTTGCAAATGATTCACATACCATTGGAATATAAAAGGTATTTATACTTCTTTTGTCCTTGTTGTTTATAACACTGGGTAATTACATATAAGCTTTAAGGTATCTGTTCAATAACCTATGAGTTAAGAAACAGTTTTGATAATGGATTACACACACAGCTAATAAAAGAGTGAATTATATTTATTTATTTGGTACCCCCGGAGATCGAACTCACTACCTTGAATTTGCCAGGAAACTGCTTGTGCCACTGAGCTAAACCCCTGGTGATATTTGGATAAAACATAAATTAGTTTTGTCATAGCATGGCATTTGAAATTGTATACAGGAATATTGGATTCTGATTGAGATCCCCAATCTCCCAAGGGAGTGTATGGAAAACGATTTAATAAGTGAGGCAAGTGGTATGATTTTAGGGCTCCAGGAGGATCAAAACCTTTTAGCCCAGTTCAAAACTCTGAGGGCTAAGACAGAGACTTCTCTGGATTTTGCACATTTATTAGTTCCAAACAAAGAGCAGGGAAACTGAGGAAAGCACAGGAAGTGAGCAGGATCTTGGGAGTCACTTCAATGACTTCTCCAGTAGTAAATTCAGCCAGGTGTCCTCAGCTGTGGCTTTATCTTGCCCTTTGAGGTATCTCTGGCCTGACAGGCCACTACAGACCTCAGCCAGGACCAGTGATTCATAGAGGTTCGCTTACTATGAATGAGTTACTGTTGCCAGGCAAGGGGCCTAGGCCTAAGACAGACTCACAGATAAACATAGAAAGCCAATTAGTTAATTTTAAATCCTGTCAGAGATACTTTGTAGTGATCTCCAACATGTGAATACCTTTATATGTGCTCACACAGTGAGTCCACGTGTTAAGGGAAATTGGTCTGTTTTGCATTATTTTACTTATGAAAAGTACACCTCTGGAAAATTCTTATATTCACTGAATTGAAAAGCCTGCATTTTTGTGTGTGTATGTTTGTGAGGGAATCAAACTCAGGAAATTTAGGTTAAATTTCATCTTGGGGCTCTTGAACCAAGCTTATTGAATCCAAAAGATTATTTCTAAGCATTACACAAATATACTTTCATATAAATATTATTTTTGAACCTAGAGAATACTGGGTTAAATTTAAGTCTATAAAATCTTTGGATGGTGCATTTATGTAATCTTAGAATTGTGGGAAGTTGACGCAAAAGGATCACAAAATCAAGCCCAATCTATAAAATTTAGTAAATAGGATAATCCTGTCAGAAATTTTCAAACAAACAAAAAGAACAGGATAGAGCCGAGGACAAGGTGAAGGCTGTGGACTAAATCCTCAATACTACAAACAAATTAAGAAAACCATATCGAAACAAATAACAACAAAAAATATAGAAAACCATTTTAGAAGCCACTGGGAAGCCTTTGTAATTTGCACAGTGATGGTCTACACTTGCTCTAACTCAGCAGCTCATCTGAGGCTGGGTCTGTGTTTCTGCAGGGAACAATGACTCCCAGGAACATCATGCCTTGCTCCAACCACACTGGCACCTCCTTCTTCCTCAAGGGCCTTCCAGGCCTGGAGGATGTGCATGTCTGGATCTCCATACCTCTGTGTGCCATGTATGTGGCGTCTCTGGCAGGGAACAGCCTGATCCTGTGGGTGGTGAGCTCAGAGCCTTCCCTTCACCAGCCCATGTACTACTTTCTATCCATGCTGGCAATGACTGACCTGGGCCTGTCTGCTTCCACACTGCCCAGCATGCTCTCCATCTACATGCTGGGTGTCAGAGAAGTGGCGGTGGACGTGTGCCTGGCCCAGCTCTTCTTCATCCATACATTCTCCATCATGGAGTCCTCTGTGCTGCTGACCATGGCCTTTGACCGTTTTGTGGCAATCTGCAACCCTCTGCACTATGGCACCATCCTAACGAACTCCCGCATTGCCACCCTGGGTTTGGCCATTGTGGTGCGAAGTGTTTGTCTGCACATCCCGGCCCCTGTCATGTTGAAGAAACTGCCTTACTGCTGGGACCACCTGCTATCCCACTCCTACTGCCTGCACCCGGATGTCATGAAGCTGGCCTGTGCTGACACCCGTGTCAACAGCGCCTATGGCCTGTTTGTGGTCATCTCCACTCTGGGTTTGGACTCGGTGCTCATTGTCCTCTCTTATTTGCTGATCCTCCAGACAGTGCTGTCCATCGCCTCCAAGACTGAGCGCCTCAAAGCCCTCAACACCTGTGTCTCACACATCTGTGCTGTGCTGCTCTTTTACACACCTATGATCGGCCTCTCCATGATTCACAGATTTGGGAAGCGAGCGTTCCCCTGCATCAGCATTTTGCTTTCTTATCTCCATTTTCTTGTACCTCCAGTGCTCAATCCAGTTGTTTACACCATTAAGACCAAACAGATTCGATGGAGGATGGCACGCATCTTCTGGTCCCGAGAATCTAGTGTCAGAGACACTCAGGGTCATTAAAACTTTGGTGAAGAAAGAAAAGGAAGAGGGGATTATAGCCATGATGCTGTTTCAGAGCACTGAACACATAAGGAGTTAAACAGTGAGCAGGAGAATGTAAGAAAGAGGCACAAGCTGTCTCCTTGTGTCTTCTGCATAAAATTCATCCTGAGAAAGAATGACCAACATTGTCCTTTTCTTAGTTTTCATTAAACAGATTTGGACCAGACAGCAACCATGTTCAACATACTATTCCAGCATCTAGAAATAGAAATATAAAGATATTGTCTTTATTTTTAAGAAAGGTACATAAAATTAAAGACTTGTCAAGGCAAGTGTAATTGTCACGGAAAAAAAAAAAAGTCTGAAATCAGTTTAACAGCTCTAGAGTGGGGGAAATGTTAAAATAATGCCTTGTCGTAGAATCTAGGAAAAGCCATTTTTTGATAATACGATTATGAAAAAGTTTATGATCCCGTGATATTAGAGGTATCTTGAAAAATCTCCACCTTAGTATACTATTCATCATTTCAGCTAGTGTTCTCTTTTGCAAGTTGCACCTATGCTCCAGATTATGATGCTTTCCATATATTAGACCGACGGTTTAGTTACTGCATAAAACAATGAATGTGTGACCGGGTTACTCACCTGGGGAAGGATAGTGGGAATAGTAAAACACATATGAGAGAGTGTAATGTAAAATAACAAAATACCTAGGAATAATTTAACCAAATAAGTGAAATGTTTGTGTACAGAAAATTATAAAACATCCCTGAAGTGCATTTAACAAGACTAAGAAAATGGAAAAAATGTTTTATATACTTGCACGTAAAGACTCGATATTCATAAAATGTCAGTGTTACCCAGAGTAATATACAGGTTTAGTGTAATTTTACCAAAATTCCATCAACAGTTATTAGATTTCATAAATGGATACACAATCCACAGTTTAAGTTAATTTGTACAGAAACCTGAATTGTGAGACATTTTTTATTAAAATTTGAAAACTGATACTTCTTGATTTCCAAATATATTGCAAATCTACAATATTCAAAAATGGTGTGGCAGTAGCATAGTAGAACAATACAGATAATAAATATTGGAGTAAGAACCAATGGGATAGCAATGTGGATTAAAGATCATCACCACATCACTGAATGCACAGTTAAAAAATGACTAGTGTTGTTGGGACAGGAAGAGAAGATTTTACTTAAATGTTACACACTTCAGTGAGGCAAAAAGAGTATGCCATATTGATCCACTCTACAGCATGGCGACTACAGTTCTAATATATTATATATTTCAAAATTGCTAAAAGAGCAAATTTCTAGTGTTACCTGACAAAAAATTAAGCACAATGATGGATTTACTAATTAGTGTGATTTTGATCATTTCACAATGTACACAGGTATCATAACATAACATTGAACCATAGATACTATATATAACTATTATTTGTCAATAAGAACTAAAGTTTATGCATGAAAATACACAAGTAACCAGACAAATACTTGCTAACATATTTCTGAAAATGTTTGGTTACTTAAAATATGGGTGAAAGGAATACAAGTCAACAACAACAACAGCAACAGATTCCAAGGAGGGCTTGATAGGACATTTTGTCAAAGAAAATATACAAATATGCAACATGAGAAGATGATGAAGATCATTATCCACTGGGGAAATTCAGATTAAATAAGAATGAAATAGTAATCCAAATTTACTAGATGGCCATAAAATTAAATGAAAAAATTATGAGGATATAGAGAAACTTTTGCCTTTGTAAGTTGTTAATAACAATATAAAAACAGGCTGCTTCAAGTCAGAAATTTAGCTCGGTGGTTTAAGGGCCTGCCTGGCAAGTGCAAGGTCCTGGGTTTGATGGCTGGTACCAAAAAACATAAGAAAATTTTAAAAAATAGAAGGTCAATTATTGCCGGCGATTTAGCTCAGGAGCTGAAGGGCCTTCCTGGCAAGCGCAAGGTGGTGAGTTAGATTCCCAGTACAAAATAAATAAATGAATAAATATAAAACAGGCTGCCTCTGCTGAAAAATCTCGTCATTTTCAACACACTAAATATAAGATTCTTAAATGGTTAAGAAATTTCACTATTTACCAAATACTAAAACAGATGGCAACATGTAGAATTATTCACAATAGTCAAAATATGAAAGTAACACATGTATCAGCATTGATGGATGAATGAACAAATGGTGACTTCTCTGTAATAACATGGATATTACTCATTCCAGACATAATAAAGTTCACATTGGCAAATGTGAGGTTCTGAGTTTTATATATATATATATATATATATATTCATAAAAGGTTTCTTTAGCATTAAAAAGGTTTCAAAGGTTTCTAATTATTTTTAGAGATTCTTTCTGCTTCTAATACTCATTTTTCATATGTCCAATTTCTATTAGAGCCCTTTACATATTATTTATAGATATATAATTTTCCATACAACAATTATACATTTATTTTAATGACAGATTGCTTTATCTTTTTGAATATGTTTTTCTTTCCTTTTACATTTCCTTTGCAATTTTGAAATGAAAATCAAGGATATTTTCTTAGGTACGGGAAAGGATAATCATTTCTTCCTTGTGATAATTTATATAAATGTGATCACAATTTGGGCTCTGTCTCATGTTAGTAAGATCTGTACAGATGACAAAATTAAAATAACTTCTGTTGTCCTTATTCTTCATTCCCTTCTTAGCTGCCTCACTAGATACCACTATTCAAAGAAAATATGCATTTTGCAGCTCTTTTACCTTTAGTAAAGTTACTATACAGGAAATCTGTTGCTTTAGGGATGACCTATGGTAATGGAGAGAAGAGAAACAAATGGTATCTTAATTAAACATCAGAATAGAACCTAAGAGATTTTTCTGGAACAGTGAATCCATCATGTGACATTCATAGCTGTTTCTACAATTTTACTGCTTTTCCGTACAGGATACCTTGTCGTTTCTCAAGCTATTTCTTTGAAACATGATTTCCCTTGACTCAACTACCCCCATTAGATGACAGAGGAAGTGAAAGGTAGCTGTATTTCAATGAATTTCTCTCCCTCTACATGAATAAGGTTCTGACAAAGTCATTTACCTAGCATTGTGGTCTGTGTTATGCAGAGACGTGAAGATGCGCTGCACAACTGCTCCTGTCCCTTTTTTTGCCAAAACCACATCACTATATTCCTTGGTTTCTCACTTATCACATATTAATATTGAAGGACATGTAGACATATCATGGATGAGATGAGAATGCAGCCTACCACTTTAGAATTTGAATTGCAAATACCATATATTGTTCAGCTTAATTTAAGCAACACATATAAATTACAGTTATTCTAGGGTACTCTATGAAAGCCAGAACATCATTTAGTGTGACTTCCTGGTAACCAGTTGTTATATGAGAACAGAAACCGGAAAGCAAGCAACCACTTTCTCCTCTAAAATATACACACACCTACACACCCTACATGCCCACTCACACACAAAAACTACACATCTATAAATATAACTGGAATTTGACTGGTGCCCAGTTGTGGGGGTGGTGGTGCACACCTCCAGCCCTAGCACCTAGGAGGCTGAGGTAGGAAGATTTTTGCAAGTTTGAGACCATCTTGGGCTTCAAATTAACCTCAAGTCCAGCCTAAAGCACATAGTAAGTACTTGTCTCAAATCGACAAAAAAAAAATATCACATTCATATTCTAAGATTCTGATTTGAGTAGATACTTATGAATGGAGCTTAATAACCACCACAATTACTCACCCAATTAATAATTTTATTACTATGAAGTTAATAGATAAATTAAGAAAGATTAATTAATCCAAAATGAACAAGGACAATGTACTTTTCTTACTGATTTCAAAGACGCTCATCTAAAAATTATAAAATATAAAATTTTGAAAAATTGAGACAAAAAACAAGAAAATGGAAAAATAGAATTCCCATTTATGAAAAAATAAGATAGTCCACTAGCATCTGCTGTAATTTTTAAAGCATTTTCAAAGGAAAATTTATTTTAAAAATTGCAGTTTAAGTAAGCTTTGCAGTTTGAAACTTCGTAGCATGGCATAAAATATTTCTCTCATATTTCTGTAATTCCTGCTTCAGGTGCTAAATTCTAAAACAATCAGGATCTTACAGGGCCTAATGTTTGTCTTGTTGTTGCAGCAATTATGCTTTGGTTTATAACAATGCTTTATCAGGAAGGCCCCTCCCAGACCCAAGTATTTGTTCTAACTCAGAGATCAAAGGTTTCTCTTTCAGTGAGTTTGGCCTAGATGAGGAGATTTAAGACAGGATGGCAGAACTTCTGGAAAGGCTTTTTTTCTTTTCTTAATGCATCATTTCAGGCTGGCCTCAGCCTCAGATGAAACTTTCCAGAGCCCAAGTAATTGAGACTTGTGCAGAGCTCAGAGTTTTTGGTCACAAAGGAGTCTTTCTAGAACCCAGTGCATAACTTTTTTGAGAATGACTTTCCTGAACTCCCAGAGGATATCTCCTACATTCTGCAAGCAAAAGACCTTGAAGGAATCTCCAACTTGTGGTACAACTGCTCCCCACTGAAGTCTCCTGTCACTGATCCTTGACAGAGGGAGGTGTGTTACCAGCTTGTAAGTTAATCATCATGTGATTTGGAAAAGATAAACAGATTTGTTTGCAGATAGCACCAGTTAAGTTTAGTGTTAAGGGTTTACATACTGTTGCACTGGTTATTCAGGGAAACATTACAGGACTATAATGTATCATCTAGGAGACATTGGCATGTGTAAAATACTCAAAGCATTCTCAAACATATTGCTACAAGAGAGAACAAAAATAAAATGTATAATTAGGAAAGATTTGGAACCCACTGGTATTTTAGTAATTCTAAAATATTTTCAAATTATATACACTAGAATTTATGAGTACATTTATTTTTTCCTCTCATGTAGGCAAGCTAAGCGTGAATGCAGTCTATGAATGAGAATGGTATAGGAAAATGACATAACAGGAAACAGTGTGAAATGATTGATCTGTATTGACCGCTGCAT